TCTGAAACAGCACGATTCACCTCGGTAGCATTGACTGGGCAGTGACTGAAAAGAGACATAGAACTGAAAACGCAATAAGTATTTTAGCAGAGGGCTTCCTCTTAAAAATGCTTGGAAATTTCTAATTAGTACAAAATGCAACTGCTAGGTTAGTGATGGGAACATATCTCATCAGAACTTAAGCAGCTATACTTTGTTGTCGGTCCATTTCCAGGGCCAACTGAAAGAACGGGCGGTTAAATATAAAAGGGCTTTGATTGCTTGAGCCAGGCAGCCATTCAGCAATTGAATTTCAGACCTTTCCCCCTCACATCATATATACAGAAGGACTGTCTCCCAAACATACAAGTCGATGCAGCAGCAACACTATTATCATTACAGTGGTACCTCCGGTTAAGTACTTAATTCGTTCCGGAGGTCCGTACTTAACCTGAAACTGTTCGTAACCTGAAGCACCACTTTAGCTAATGGGGCCTCCTGCTGCCGCTGCACCGCGGGAGCACGATTTCTGTTCTCATCCTGAAGCAAAGTTCTTAACCTGAAGCACTATTTCTGGGTTAGCGGAGTCTGTAACCTGAAGCGTATGTAACCTGAATCGTATGTAACCCAAGGTACCACTGTATTATAACCAGCTCCTCTTCCCAGGGGAGCCCAGGGCAGCAGTTTGTCAACTATATAAACCCTCCATCGCACACAGAAACTGCACATTGTAGCAAAAAACAAAACAAAACAAAAAAACCAACCCACAGGGCTGCCCCTATAGGTAAATGGGGCACTCATCTTTCCCCCCCATACAATTCCCGTTACGGTGTACGGTCCCTTCCAGGAAGTATTTTGAAAGGCTTTTTATTGTTATTGCACAGCCAGTAAATACAAAGCTGCATAAAACATTTAAAGGGAGGAGGAGGCAACTGTTGGACCCACTCATACATACGATACAGGCCCACACCTATGCCAATATCTCCAATGAACTAATTGTGATGGGGCAGGAGAACTGGTTGGGGCACTAGACTCTGGCCAAATCCTGAAGTGCTTAACTGAAGGATCACAGATGATTCAAACAGGGAATGCATCAAACCAAGACGTGGCCAGCTGGCAGCTTTCCCATTGGTGTGAGTGTCATTTCCATCTTCCCCAATTGCTGACCATGTGTTGGCCGTGTTAACAGGAATGGGGAGCTCAGTAACATCTGAAGGGCCGCGCATTACCACAAATTATAATGTAACTTGAGTAGAATGGGGGGGGAGTTCCTTTTTGCTTTGACCACCCTAGTTTTAATATCCCGCTGATCATCTTGTGCTTAGCACATTGAGCCCCAAAATACCAACAGGCCATAGAAACTCATTCAGTACCATGTGCATTGAATGTGTTTGGCCCATGCTGTGTCCTTTCAGGAAGGAGTCAAAAGTCTCCATTTTAAAAGGCTTCAAGCAGTACAGGAAGCCTACCACACTGCCAAGATAGGCTGCTCAAGTGATGAATTGCCCTCACACTTGCCATCTGATTATGTTAGGTTGTTTACTGAAACCTCCATCTCACCAAGATTACTTTGGGTTGGCAATGAGATTTTCTTCTTCTTCCCAGTTTCCAGCCACACTCTTATTGTAAAGCAAGTTATGAAACTCTGGAGCTCTAACAGGCCTCAGTCACAACACTAAACAATTACAAGATGTATTACCTCAAGCCTTTTTACTGAACTGTGCAATTCCTAAAAGTCAAGAAAATTGACTTCGGTACGACAATAGCACCCTTGTACGTGTGGTTTAATTTTTCCGCCTACCAGCTAGTTCTTAGGCACTAGAACCAATTATTGACGAACTCACCTTGCCTAAAAATTAAGTTTCAGTACTCTCCTGTAGCACTTGGAAAACATATTAGCATGATAAAGGACTCAAAATCTGCTAAGCAGCAACTCTGCACAAGGTTTTCTCACTCTTAGTTATTTCAGTCTGTTCTCTACTGTCTAAAATTAGGAAAGCATTGTCAAGAAGCCTGTTCTTTCAATAGTCGTTGCAAGTTTGCCAGCAAACCAACCAAATATAATATTTCTTTTTTCCTAAGGAAATGTAAACAGTCTGAACTGATTGCATTGCACAACACTGTGCTCAGAAACAGCTTATTTGTATTAGATGTAACAGCGTATCTAGACTTCTTGTCAGAGGAGAAAACACACCTGAGGACACTGAGCTTTCCCCAATCTCTTTCTCCCAAATCAGCAGGATAGGCCATTTGCAACTCTCGGTCGTAGCTGAAGGCCTTTGTTCATGCCAGCACCGACACTTCACCTTCCATATCCACCCACCCCCTCCTTAGTACATAAACTGGCTTTCTCCGTTATTTTTGTGGTACGGTATCCCCCCACTCCCACTGCAGAAATGCAAGATATTCCTCTCATAAGAATCACTGTGTATCAGAAACGTAACTAGGGTTTGTTTATTCATGACGGCAGCAGCCCCAGGCTCTCTTGAAACTGCTAATTTAACCAAACTGCAAATTACTCCACTTTTCTTTCTGTTTTTTTTCCACGTTGGCTTCCTTATACCGTTCCTTTAAAAACCCAAGACTTATACCATGACTGCAGATAGCGTAGGAGCTATTAATTTATCACATTTGTATGGTGCCAGAGCAACAAATGCAGCGAGGCAGACCTGCTGAGCCACCGTCATGACAAAGGCGCCTCTGGAAGGTCTGCAAAAGTGCAAGAAAAAGCGGGTGACAGAGGTGGGGGGGGGGACGACCCAAAATATCCAAATGAGAACAAGGCACGCTCAGTGGTGCTGACTGCTGGGGAAGGGACGAGGGAAAGGAAAACCAGTGGGGAGGTGGAATGGACTGGTCCTCTTAACATCATGGTCCCAGAGAAAACAAAAGACACAGAGCACATGAGGAAACAGAAGCAGAATGGTGGAATAGGAACATATGACTGCCACAATGCAGAACTAAATTTAGTTAGAATAACAGTACCAAGAATTGCCCATTTTAAAGTGAATACTTACAAAAGAGGGCCACAGTTTTCTCCATTTATGTTGCATGGGAAACACAGGCTTGAGGCAACCTACATGTCCCTCACAGCATCCATTTCCACCCTCAGATGCCCTTAAATGTGAAGATGGAGGATCCTTTTTCTGCCTGGAACGTTAGGAGTTTATTATGTGCTTGTAAAGAGCTCTCGCCACAATAACAGCGCTCTTGGAAGAACAGCAGGCTGTGTCACAGTCGTGTGCCTTACACACTGTTGCTGCATTACTGTTAATGGCCGGCCAGAAAGGGAAAGCCAAATGGAATTTTCCTTTAATGCAATAACTTCGGGCCTTGAAACATCATTTAATATAACTGCCAAAAAAAGCAGGGCGGCGGGGTGGAGGAGAGGATCTGTTTTCAAATCAGCCATTTTGGCGTAAAAGTCAAGTGCCGCTAATTAGGAAAATGAGTGATGAATCATAATCCCAGCATCACTCATTAAACAAAACTGCATTTATCTTGGATTTACCAGACTGAGTTTTAATAGTAAAGAATATAAATTAATTCTGTTGCTAAAAATCTCCCAAAGTTTTCCACCATGAAATAACAAGGCTCCACATTACATACTCCTCTTCATCCAGGAACCCACAAACGTTTTATGAATATTGGCCCCATCCTGCAAATGAGGGAAGCATCGCAATTAAGAGGATAATGTCACTCATTCAAATGCGTGCAATAAACCCAAGGCAACACACTCTGGTGCTTCTTGTTCCCAAAACCACTGTTCTGAATACAAAGAAGGAAGGAAGTGCCATGGCAAATCCGAAAGGCAGGCCGGCAAGCTAAAAATTGTACAAGTCCTCTTCAAGCATTCAAGCCTTCTGCCATGTTGGAGGAGAGTGAGGGCAAGACCTGTTTCCTCCATCACAACCTCACTGCTGGCTCCAATGTTTTCTACCTGTTCAGAAGGGGACTTCTATAGCAGGAAACCTTTCCTCCTCATGTATGTTTCCATGAAATTCAGGGTTCTAGATCGCCCAGGCTGCTTACCTGAAGAATGCTATGGATGTTTCCTTCCCAACAGGTGGAAAGCAATGGAGACAGCGATGAGCTGGTGGACTTGTCTCTCCTCGCGTTGCAAAGAGAATGACTTGGAAGGCTTTAGTCTCATCCCACCCTGCCACGCAACATCCTTTTAGCGCAATAAGACGAGAACAACATGGTGGTGGGTGGCAGAATAACAACAGAAGGTTTATCGAGCTTTGAAATAGGTTTCCTCTTCACAAAATCGCCCTCCCCAGACTCCAACAACACCTAATACCTCATTTAACTCATGAGCACACAGGTGGCTTTTAAGAGTAACTAGAGACTAAGTCACAAGATTGAACTGCACAAATTTAAGGTACTTTCTTGGTTTCACAGGCTCTGGGGATGCTTGCATTGTGCGCCCCAGATGACAACATCCTATATCACAGATTTCTGAGTCGGCAACCCAGCAGTTACCCTTATTAAAGCCATTACACGTACCCTGGCCTGCATTCCGGCACTTATGTGATTAAAATGGATGTCACTGGCTACAAGTAAGGATGTCACCCTGGGTTTCTGTTTCTAGTTCTGTCACAGCCTTCCTATGGGACCTTGGAAAGACAATTAACCTACATGTACTCTGCAAAAACAGAGGCAATGGCCCCTTCACAGCAGACTTTAATTCATTCATATCTGTGAAGTGCGTTGTGAAAAACAGATGGAACACAGGAGCCAAGGTATTTTTAAAATGTTAAGTAAGCACTGTGGATGGAAGTTGGCTATTTTGAAAAACATGCTTCTCTGCCTTTCCTTTTTTATTTTAGTAAACCTAACATTTTGCTTGGCGTGCTCTGGTCCATGGGGTCACGAAGAGTCGGACACGACTAAACGACAACAACAACAACATTTTCCTCAGCTACCAGGTGCATATCAAAACCACAGAAACACAGAACTGTAGAGTTGAAAGGGACCACAAGGGTCATCTAGTCCAACCCCCGCAAACAGGAATCTTTTGCTCAACATGGCACTCAAACCCACCATCCTGAGATTCAGAGTTTCATGCTCTACCAACTGAGCTATCCAAATTCTGTGGCTTGTGTTTAGCCTCCTTATTTACCTTTGTTTGTTTTAGCTGTTCTTATTTTTATCTGTAAACCACCATGAGCCCCTGACAGGGGAAAAGGTGGGAAACATGGATGGACAGATAGATAGATAGATAGATAGATAGATCAATTCCTGGCACCACTAGGTAGGGTGATTGCCCCTTGCTTAAAATGCTGGAGGGCCACCCCCAGTCATTATAAACATTACCAAGTAACATGGGCCAATGCTCTGACTCAGCAGAAGCAGTCAGTGGGGTGGTGCAGGCACGGAGGGGTTGCCCACCTGCCTTCATAATCCCAAGCACAGCTGCCATTTCCTCAGAGGAAGAAGTGTGAGGCTCGCAGTGTGAGCATAATGGCAACAGATTCAGGGCCGTCTTACCCATAGACAGTAGTGGTGCGGGGCACCGGGGCGCCAGGTTCTGGAGGGCGCCAGGCGAGAGTCCGGGAAACACCGAATGAGCACACTGAGTGAGCAAGGGTGCGTGTGCCGCTCCTGCTGAGCGTCAGCTCGATTTTTTCCCTTTTAGCCTGCAGGTGCCGAATTCTTGCCCTCGTTCACTCGGCGCAGTTGGTATGCTCACTCGCCCAACGGGGTTGAGGCACAGGAGCACGTGGCGCCCCTCCTGCTAGCCATCTTTGAGCCAGGCATCAGGCCCTGTGGATCTCCACAGCACATCAGCACCGCGCCCTGAACCTCCGCTTGCCGTGGCCACCGCGGCACGAAGCGGCCAGCTGAGCCAGGAGGCGCCACATACAGCCTCCACCTCTTCCCCGCCGGAGGAGCCGCCCTCCAGCCACTGCCCGCCTCCTCCAGCCCCGCAAAGCTGGGCACGTCGCTGGCAGTGCTGTCCCATCCCAAGAGGCTTCCTCCACCGCTGGTGGTGTTCCCTCCCTTAAAAAAGGTTGACAACTCTGGGAAATGGGGGCAGGCGGGCGTTGGAGGGATCTTTGCACCACAGCGCTGGATATGCTTAAAACAGCCCTGGTCAGATTGGCTCTGCCACCGTACCTGCACTGCGCTAATCTCACTGCCCCTTACACGTCACACCCTCAGGAACCAGCCATCAGCACTTGGTGTTGGGGAGGCAGTGGAGCAACTCCACCCTGCCTGCACCATGCCTCCACCTGAATTGAAAATGGTAATAAAACCACCAAATGCAATAGACATTTGACGCCCAAGTTCGTTAAACAACGAATTCAGCTGTGCTGTTCTACTATGCCAACACTTCATTCCGTCCTTTCCCCCCGCCTTTCCTGCTTCTCATAATCTGATACCTCTACCTTGCTATTTGCAGAATTACACATAAAAAGACCACTGTGCTGCATGCAGTCTTCCCGGCCCGTGATACAATTGCAAGGCCACCCTCATGCCCAAAATACATTAAGCCGTTTCATATAAAATACTTCTGGCATTCCTGCAGCACATTTTAAAAGGCGACGCTTGACAACAGAATGGAAAGTAATTTAATGGGGAATGATTCACAATAAAAGGAAAGAACCTTTGGGTAAGAGCGGTTATTTCAATAGAAACAGATTTGGTTTTAAAGCTGGGGTGGGGGGGAACAAGGAAGAATTTGGGGGCAAAAGCTGTGGGAGCAGGTAACGGCCGCCTCCCACCCCGTTTTATCCCGATAATAAAGGTTAAAATACAAGCAGCAATTTCTGTGACAATATTTCAACCACTCTATTGAAAAGTATACATTATTCCAGTTTTAAAACGTATATATATATCTATAATGGAAAATGAAAAACATTACTAAGCTAACTTTCATTTCGTCTTAATGGCAACAACTCCAATGAAGATCAACTGGGTTAAACCTTAATTGCAAGCAGTTGGGCTCAAACTACACTATTATTATTTCTCCACATTTGTCAACCCAAAGCAGGCTGGGTATGCTTGTCTTGCACTCCAAGCTACTTGTGGGGTTTCAGAGCCAAAGGGAAGAATGGAGAAGGAACAAGGATTTCCATAGGCCCAGGTTTGAAGCCATAATGTTATGTACTGAAGTTCTCACCCAGGGCCAGCAGGGGGATACTGTAGATAGTTATGCAAATAAGGGATCAAAAGTGACGTTCAGTGATTGGATAGTTTTAGAAAGTTGTTACAGTTACGCTGTACTGGAGCTCTATATAAGCAGGCTGACTGAACCCTTCAGTTCTGTCCTGGCCTGTGAATAAACAAGAGCTGTTTGAAGAATTGCTGTGTCGTCTGATATGTTCACCCACAACTTAACACATAAAATGAAAACAAAGTGGGGGGAGGGGTCAACTTTTAATGTGTGCTTCTTATTGTGTATGTGCTTTTAGCAGGCGGAGGGGTGCCTTACGACATGCTTCGAAACCCTGTTATACTTTTTTTCCTAAAAGGTTAGTGATAATGAATGCTACCTTCCTGAAGGAAGCTGGATTAGACACTCTCCAGTGAACTTTGTGCCCTCTGGTGCTTTAACAGTCTCAATCCTCACTGCTTAAATCATAAGCAATCCTATTTCTAGTACAGTTCACCTAGGCAGGGCTCCCTTTTGTATCCCATCAAGCTCACATAATACTGCAGTTATATACAGTATTTCCGGGGAGTAGCAGTTCAACTGGAAAGGCAGCTGTGGAAGACATTGATCAGCTGACCACGTGCAAGGACTGAGGAAAAACACAAAAGGAGAGGCTAAGGACCTCCAAGGAATCCCCAGCTTAATGGTACAAGGACAGCTGGATGAAAGTTAGACCAGGTCCATTTAAGGGGTAGTAAAGCTGTACAGTAGGACACATATGATGGATGGATTGCTCCCAGATACTTGAACAGATTCAGCATCATTTATTTGTTTCTAGTCATCAGACCATTGCAAAACAAAGTTTAACACATACGCACAGAAACTAATTCAAACATATAGATAAAACACGAAAAAATGTAGGGTGCTGGATTTCCGTGACAAATCACACCCTAACATTTAAAAATGGAAAGATCATTACTCTTAACAAATGAATGACATGAAATAAAACATAAGTTATGCATATCTGAATACAATTATGTAAAGTAAGAATAACCTTAAAATTCAGACTCTCCACAAAACACAGTATACTCTCTTTAAAAAATTCTTCTCTCGTCAATTACCACCCATAGAAAATGAGCAGTTTTCAACAGTTGTATATATATTCACCTTGTCTACTCAGTATGAAAATTATAGACTCTTGGTCACCCCCATCTCTCCCTAAAATCTGTCCCAAATATTGGTCTCACAAAGCATTAGGTAAAGGGAAGCAAATAACAACAACCTTCAATCTCAACTAAAATGAAAAACAAAACTTGTGACTAGCAAATATGATGCCGGAGAAAAAATGTTCCACACTGGTCTTTCATTTAACACAATAGGTTTTTAGATTCAGTGACTCTTTACTTATGAACAGGGCTTTTTTTCTGGGGGAAAAGGGTGCTGGAACTTGTTGAGCTTTTTTTAGGAGGGGAGCAAGCACCCAGCCCAAGTTGTTGAGCCCCTAAAAAAGCTTCTCTTCTTATGTCGCCACCCTCCACAGCGCCACACCGATCACCGTGCTGCTCATGGCCGCCATCACACAACTCAGATCTATGACTCCACCTAGCTCCTAGCTGCCCCTAGCCATGATAGATCAAGATGCAAGGCCAATTCATATCTCCCTTTCTTCAATCCCTCTCCCGTATAGCGCCATTGGCCTTTCAGTTTTCCAGCCAGGCCTCTATCATTTCACACATCGTTTCAGCTGCCCTAACCAACCACCTGAATCTAAGAGAACAAGGGAGGCAGGGGCACATTTATTTGACCTGCACGAGAACCAGGGGCGGCTCCCAAACCAGCGCAGTGGTGGCCAAACTTGGCCCTCCAGCTGTTTGGGGACTACAACTCCCATCATCCCTAGCTAACAGGACCAGTGGTCAGGGATGGTGGGAAAACAGCTGGAGGACCGAGTTTGGCCACCACTGAGGGAGACAGCTTGCCGTAGTTTTTAGCACCTCCGTGGCTGGTGTTGTCAAACCAGCATCTGTTCAGGGATGCCCTGAATCACCCGGTGACTTCACTGTAAGAACTTCACAGTGAGTTCCGGCACCTATTTTTCTTGGCAAAAAGCACTGGTGACATCCAATTACTTCTTTGCCAATTTCACCTCCTCACGTCTGCCCCCAGAGCATCTCAAAAATCTGGACAGATTTCCAGGGGTGTGTACAGGGGGCTGAGGAGCATGCAAATATCATCTCTCCTCTCCTGTGAGTGGAGCCCTTCAAGTGGATTGGACATCACCCTATGGCCAGGATTCAACTAACCCAACGTGCTAGCAGAAAGCTGTGCAAGGGCTCACACGAGCCCCACAGGGCTCTCTCCCCTCTCCTTCTGCCACAAACACACCCTGTGCTTCTCCCACATCACTCTGTCTGGCAATGCTAATGGAACGATCCGAAGAGTGCGATGTTGAATTCCTCCCTCTGTGTTTAAACATTAGATGTAAGTTGAATTTTTGTTTTCGCTGTAATTATGTAGCTTTTGAGTCACGATTTTATATATTATGCTGAATTACAACTGTTGATTTTTTTTATATGTAAAAAAAACTTATTTACTGTAAAACCACCCAGGAGACTTTACTCAGTGGGGCAGCTTACCTATGACATAGAATAAGCATACTTTTTCTAAGACTAACAGGACAATTATAGGGCAACAGTTCTCCACGTGCATGTATAATGCTGAAATTGGCACCATTACAACTGCTTTGAAGTTTGCTGCTTTCTGGTATTATTTCAGTGTTGCCCAATGTAATATTAGAAGCAAAGTTCCTAATGCTGGAACAGTGTGAATTGTCAAAGCAGAATGTGGGGAGGGGAATACTAATTTATGTCTTAGGCAGAGGGGAATATTTCGCTCCAAACAAATGTGCTGCTTTATATATTGCTACATACAAATAATTTACCCTAGACTCTTTGCTCTTTACTCCTTGCTAATAAATAAAAAGACATTGGCA